TGTCGCCCAGGCTGTAGTGTGATGGTGCAATCCGAGCTCACTGCAACCTCCACCTCTAGAGTTCAAGAGGTTCTCCTGCCTCAGCCTCCCGAGTAGCTGGGATTACAGGCACGCACCACCACGCCTGCCTAATTTTTGTATTTTTAGTATTTCATCATGCTGGCCAGGCTGTTCTTGAATTCCTGACCTCAGGTGCCCCTGCCTCGGTCTCCCAAAGTGCTGGGATTACAGGCATGAACCACTGCGCCTGGCCTAAACATTTTTGAAAGTATACTCCCATCATTAAAAAACAATTTTGAGACATTCGTCTTCCTAATACTATAAATATACATATATATATATATGCACTACTGAAATAATACATTAACTTACGTGTTGTGTATATTATAAAGCAAATAAAAATGAACTTTAGGCCAGGTGCAGCAGCTCACACCTGCAACCACAACCCTTTGGGAGGCCGAGGCAGGAGGACTGCCTGAGCTTAGGAGTTCTGGGCAAAACCGTCTCTACAAAAAATAACTGGCTAGGCATGGTGGTACAGGACTGTAGTCTCAGTACTTTGGGAGGCCAAGGAGGCTGGATCACTTGAGCTCAGGAATTCAAGACCAGCCTGGGAAACCTGGCAAAACCTCATCTCTACAACAAATACAAAAATTAGCCAGGTGTGTTGGTGTGTGTCTGTGGTCCCAGCTACTCAGGAGGCTGAGGCAGGAGAACTACTTGAGCGTGGGAAGTGGAGGCTTCAGTGAGGTGTGACTGTACCACTGTACTCTAGCCTGGACAACAGAGTGAGACCCTGTCTCTAAAAACAAAACAAAACAAAACTCAAAACCTTTAAAAAGGATGAAATAAAAAATACATAAAAATGACATTTTAGTATTTTCTCTTCTTTTTGAGATGGAGTTTCACTCTTGTTGCCTAGGCTGGAATACAATCTTGGCTCACTGCAACCTCCACCTCCTGGGTTCAAGTGATTCTCCTGCCTCAGCCTCCCAAGTAGCTGGGATTACAGGCATGGGCTACCATATCCAGCTAGTTTTGTATTTTTAGTAAAGATGGAGTTTCACCATGTTGGTCAAGCTGGTCTTGAACTCTTGACCTCAAGTGATCCACCCGCCTCAGCTTCCCAAAGTACTGGGATTACAGACGTGAGCCACCGTGCTTGGCTGACATTTTAGTATTTTCTTCCTGCATTCCAATGGATCTTCTTGTACCTCTTTGGTGATGACTGGCCTGGAAGATGCCCTAGAATAACCAGTATTATTATTATCATTATTATTATTTTTGAGATGGAGTTTCGCTCTTGTTGCCCAGGCTAGAGTGCAACGGCACAATCTTGGCCCACTGCAACCTCTGCCTCCTGGGTTCAAGCGATTCTCCTGCCTCAAGAACTCTCTCCCGAGTAGCTGGGATTACAGGCATGCCATGCCCAGCTACTTTTGTATTTTTAGTAGAGTTGGGGTTTCTCCATATTGGTCAGGTTGGTCTCGAACTCCTGACCTTGGGTTATCTATCTGCATTGGCTTCCCAAAGTGTTGGGATTAAGGCATGAGCCACCGCATCTGGCCTTTTTTTCCTTTTTTTTTTTTTTTTTAAGAGATGGGGTCTTGCCATGTTGCCCAAGCTGGTCTCAAACTCCTGGGTTCAAATGATCCTCCCACCTCAGCCTCCCAAAGTGCTGGGATTATAGGCGTGTGCTACTACACTCAGCTAGCCAGTATTATCCTTAATATGCCTCTAAATTTTGTTCTTTAGCTAGAGTTTTCTTCTGCATGTAGGTATGTATGATTCAGTAAGGCAACAAGAACTTATTGATATTCTAAAGGGATCACAGGACCTGGGGTTTACGTACTTCCAAATAGCTATGCTGGTAGCAACGGCAGCAAACTCTCAGCTACATAAATGGCTTAATTGATCTCTAATTTTTAGAGCTGCATGTAACATGTATGAACACTAATAACAGCACTTAATCTGAGTGTTCATTATGTGCCAGGTAAGTGCTTTGCATATATGAATTAATTTAATCCTTGCAACAATCCAGATGACGAGACTGAGGAACACAGAAGTTAAGTAACTGTCTAAGGGCGTACAGCTAAAAAGTGAAGGACTGGAACCCAAGAATTCTGGCTAACCACTGCTAGCATGTTACAAATCTCCATTTCTGTATCAAGAATAAATGGAAAAAATGATGAAGGGTGGGAAACACACAGAATACCAAATGCCCTTCAACCAGCTTATAATGCCAAACATGGTGGCTAACACCTATAATCTCAGCAATTTGGGAGGCTGAGGCAGGAGAACTGCTTAAGCCTGGGAGGTTGAGGCTATGGTGACCCATGATCACAACATTGCACTAAAACCTGGGTGACAGAGTGAGATCCTGTCTCAAAAAAAATAAAAAACAAACACTAAACCAGCTTATGTACTTATTTTTAAAGTGAAATGATGAAGTAAAGAATAGGAATTACAGGCCAGACATGGGGGCTCACGCCTGTAATCCCTGCACTTTGGGAGGCTGAGGTAGGTGATCACCTGAGGGCAGGAGTTCAAGACCAGCCCGGCCAATGTGATGAAATCACTTGAACCTGGGAGGCAGAGGATGCAGTGAGCTGAGATTGCGCCACTGCACTCCACCCACTGTACTCTGGGTGATTCTGTCTCAAAAAAAAAAGATTAGGAATTACAGAAATTTTAAGGAGGTGGTAAGGGGAAAGCAGAGAACACTTTTCTGCAGGACTAAAGTATAAAATTACTCATTATTTACAGAGTTTACAAACTTGTTTAGCATTATCTTTTTTGGGGAGAAGGGGTCTTGTTCAGCATTACCTTAAGCCTCAAACTGGTACTTTTCTCTCTTTAGTCTTTAGTCAACTCTTTAATTGAATAAACTTAAATTCACATGAACAATCAGAACCTGTTAATTACAAACTTGTTTTGAATTTGAAAATCCAGAGATTAAAAAATAGTTATTTAATTAAATTAAAACTCCCTAAAAGTCACATTCCAGACAGTGTTGTCAGTCCCAATGGCAATGTGATTAGTTTATCTATAAAATTCAAAAACAACAAATCACTCTTCTTTTGAGCACAAAAATATCTTATTTTCCACAAATACCGAAAAACCTAAAAGTGATCTGTTTAGAAAGCATGACATTATTCATCAGATGTATACATGAAATCAGTAGTTTTAAGAAATATTAAAAGTTCATGACTTTTTATAGAGTATTAATAAAAATTTGCAAGTTTTTTTAAAAAGCAAATTCATGGAATGACAAAGATAGCTTCTGTAAGAAAAATCATATAGATATAAAGCAATGTTACCTCCAGATTCCTCAGAATCCCTGGATCTGGTCTTAACAGTAGTGACACTGCTATGAGAGCTGTCTTGATCTTCTTCTTCAGTTTCTCCTGAAAAGAAATAAATAATATACTAGTAAAGTCTTATTTTAATTCTCAAAAGATCTGAATTCAAAAAAACCAAACAAGTAATTTAACATTAAAAGAAGGCTTTTAGGGCTGGGTATGGTGGCTCACGCCTGTAATCCCAGCACTTTGGGAGGCCGAGGTGGGTGAATCACGAGGTCAAGAGATCGAGACCATCCTGGTCAACATGGTGAAACCCCGTCTCTACTGAAAATACAAAAAAATTCAGCTGGGCATGGTGGCGTGTGCCTGTAATCC